CTCTTATACACAATCCTGACAAAGGGTATTGAAATTTCTGGCTGTAGGAATATTTTTTCTATAGCATTGTATCAACACACATATGGAAAGTATCAAGTTTTTTTTGCAGCCCTTCTGTTGTGCTAAAGGTAAATTAAAAATAACCATATTACTTGAATAATGTTTGACATTTTATTCAACTTCCCGATTTATCTTCCACCATTTCCCTGAGGTAGTGGACACAGCATGTGCCTGTGCTTCATTACATGGTTATAACATCCGCTATAGTAGTTCCAACTAGGTCACTCCTATCTCCAAATTCACGTGTCTAAAAAAACTACTTATAAAACACACTCATGTGACGAGTTACAGCTACTATTAATGTCACAATGGCAAGAAATAAAAGGAGCCTGACATGTTTCTATTTAAGCAACATCCTGACACGTTTTAGACTAATGAAGCACACTGAGAACGATTTTTAAAAATTGTCAGTCTGTTTTTATAGCATTGCCTTTGTTGATAGAAATAACAAGAAGCACAATATGTTGGTGTGCTAAGAGCTCTGCTCCAAACCATCTGTGTACAAACTCAGGAAAGGAGAGCAGCTGAGAGAAACTAAATAAGGGAGGGAATTTAAATGTCTTCCTCTGAGCCATCTTCCTTTCATCTCTTTACGTGATACCCCAGGTGCCATGAGAACTCCATCTAAACATGAACCTTAAACACAGGAGTGGAACACACAGTTTCAGCTTCAGTGATTTAGACACAGAGGAGAGATGCAGGACGACGAGAGGAACAAAATGAGCCTCATGCGGCGGAAGACAGATCCCAGCCGTGACAGCGGTCGTCATGGTGCAGCCGCAGGACCAGAGCTGCTGCTCTTTGGGGGCCCTCTGAGATAAATTGGCTCCAATTGCTCATCTGTGCTTTCACCACAGACAAAATAATCTAAGCAAACAGAATCCAAGAGATACTGTTCAAACCTGCAGCCATCAACCTGTGCAGTTATTAGCTGTTTCTATGCAAAGGAAATTATTCTAGACAATGCTGTTATTTTTATTATTCTATCAAATGTTTAATACTCTTTTTTTTTTTTTCTTTTTCCAAGATTTGTGGTGCAATGATAATTGATATATGAATTGCTATATAAAGTTTGAATGATCTTCAGTTGGAAGTTTGCTTTTCAGTTACTTTGGCTTCTTTACTCATTTGCCCGTAGGTATGAGTGTGTGCATGAGTCGCTGTATGTGTCATGTCTCTTTCCCTGTGATGGATTGCTGAACTGTCCGGCCTGTATCCCACCCCGCCAAATGTCCACTAGAGATATGAACACGCCTAAAGCAGGTTTCAAAGATGCATGGTTAGATTTTTAGATAGAGTTGGAGTTGGTCCTTTCCATTGAATCAGAAGTTAAATCAAACACACATTAACTGTATCTGATCTCATTCCAGCCAACAATCAATATGTAGATATTTTTTGTTTTTTTCACCTAGATAAAAAGATGGAATAACATTTTTTGGATCATTTTTACTATTTTTTTTCTGCAGACAGCACTTAAGACTGACAAGACTTTTAGTGCTCATCGGTTAGACTTTCCACTACACTACATTATGCACTTTTGCTTTAGGGTCATGCTCTTACCATCAGAGCCTCTACTTTAGTATTATTGGGTGTCATTTATTACGTTTGTCACCATAGATCATAAGTTATTGGTTCTGTTCACAAAACAGCTAAGTTGTAGAGACTCAATGAGCCTAAGAGTAAAGAGAAAATTACATGTAATTTTAGACTCAAAACATAACATTGGAGTCAAGTCTACTGTTATATGAGCATAGCTCTATTTTTAAAGAAACATGCAGAGATCACTGCAAATGAGCACACAGAAAACTGCTACAGACTTTGATTTTCAATTACCTGATATACTCCTAAGGTGTATTTAAAGGGTGTCAATAAAAGACACACAAAGATCATAAATACTGGTTCCAGAGTCTTTAAAGAAAATGCATTGGCTTCATGTTTACACTGCAAAAAATTATCTAGAAATAAGTAGAAAATTGTTAAATTAGGTGCATTTACCCTTGATTTGAGTAGGTAAATAAAATGATCTGTAGATGAAATGAGTTTTTTTTTTACTCTTAAATATTAGATAATATAAACTTGAAATAAAACAATAATTTTTATTTAATTTTAAATGTAAATCATGTTATTTACATTGGCAAAATGTCCCACTTAAGTCCTCCATTCAAGAAAAAAAATGCACTTATTTTAAGAAAAAATATATAGTATAATATCACCCAGCTCTATTTGTGTGGATCTGCATTCAATCCACTGTACTTTGACACCCCTTAAGAAAAAGGGTTAACTTAGCATTCTGTATGCATTTGAAAGTGAAAGACCATTACATCATAGGTGCACAAAGGAGCGCTACCACAGATCCTTCCTTCCAGATGCTAATAATAATTCAATTTTATTGTCATTACACTGTCACAAGTACAGAGCAACAAAATTAATTCTCTGCATTTAACCCATCCCCTTGGGGAGCAGTGTTAAGGGTCTTGCTCAGGGACCCAGAGTGGCAGTCTGTGGGAGTGGGGGATCGAACTCACAATAGGAGTCAAAGCCCTACCCCCTAACCACTAGGACGCCCCTCCTCTTTACATGTTTCATAGATATAAACAATCCAGACTCAAAGACCAATTTGTATGTTTGAATGTAACTAAATAGGCAGGCTTAAAATGTTATGCTCAGTTTTAGAATGAACTCCTTGGAAGGTCGAGATGTGCTGGGACTGTTGGCTCTTTCAAGTCAGACCTTAAAACATGATTTTACAAGTAAACTGGTTATTTTGTTAGTTTGTTTTTATATGAGGGTCTTTAATTAGCCCACATAAACCACTGAGAAAAAAAAAACCCAGGAGTAATAAATGAAAGAAACTTATATTCTAATGAAGTTTTTTAGAAATATTTTGAATCAAGTGAAAGATCAGAATCAATCCAAGATCAACTTTCTAAAGTGGGGGTAAAAGTAAAGTAGCAAAGATGGATTTAGCATAGCGTGTTCTTTGCTGCCATCTACTGTGTTAAACCGCCATCAACCAGAACAAAAATATAAAAACACAAGTCTTAATAATATAGGTATATATTTATTCATACGTACATTTTTCTTTATATTGGTTAATTATAAAAAAAAGAAAGAAAAGGAAAAAGATTTACAGTAATTATATGAACTACAGTCACTTCCAAAACTGCTTTTTTTTTTATTATTTCTCAGGTGTCAAATTTTCTACCTCCAACACAGACTGTTGATTCAGCTTTTTCTGCCTTTCTGTTGTTCTTCTTAACCCAACTCCAGTGTTTAGGACAAAACGTGCATTAAACAGACAGAACTGGAGCGTGAGGCTCCAATATCCATGTAAACCCGGGGATACGGAGCTCAGATATAAAGATAAGAGTTTGATACTGCACTGGAAAAGGAGTCCGTGGTGGAAACTGTAGTGTTTTGTGTTCTTTTGTTTTCTTTTTGTAGCATCAGATGACATTTTCTTTAGTACACATGAAACTTTCAGGAGCAGTTTGAAAGCATGTCGCCGTTAGCTGCACTGGTGAACCTGAGGAGAGACAGGTGTCACAACCAAACTTGAAGTCTTGTTGTCTGGAGCACAGAGAGTTTGTTAACGTATTCTGAATTTTTTGACTCGCCTCTATAGAAATCCTCTCATAAAGCCCTCTTTTGACTAAATTCAAGCTGAATAGAATCATGATTTGGATTACCTGATGCCAATTTGTTTCAATGCATGTTAAAATATTGCTCAGTGCTCGTATTTGCCCCTTAGTTTGAAGCAAATAGGGTGAGGACATTGAATAAAGTTTTTCTTTTCCTGAAAACAAGGCAAAATAAAAAAAAGCATGTTGGTGGGGTAATTTTAAATAATATCCCTCTCCTTGATTAAAACATTCAACTAGAAATCGCCACATATTTTATGTAGTTAGAAAAAAAGGACAATTGCACTGATGCCAACACTTCCCACGGACAAATGCTACACATTTAGTAACAAACTTAATGAAATAAACTCCATCAGATGAAAACTAGGATTGAAAAATGGGGCTTAAGCTCTTTCCACAAAGACTTGGACTTACGACCTCAAACACAACGGAGACAGAACTCAAACCACAGCAAAACAAGAACGAAAGACTCAGAAGAAATTACAGCAAGGAGAGAAAAAAAAATAACATTTATATGGAGAAATAGGAAGAAGCAGATGTGAAAGCAGGACAGAGCAATTCATAAGAAAAGGCTTCAATACTTCAAAAGGTCAGGAGCTGATGTCCTGTAGAAGCTCCTCCTCTGCAGGCCAAGATAGTGCGCTCCTCAGATTCAGTCAGCTTCCTCTTTAAGCGACTGCAGGGTCAATGGTCTCAGACAGATAGAGGTGCTCCTGCAAGGCCTCTTAGGAGTGGAGGAGATGCAGATCTAGACCTCAAGCATGTCCTTTGTCCTCCACACGAAAAAAAAAAAAAGCAACTCAATGAAATCAAACTAACGGAAAGAAGACGATCCAACACCGTTTTTTTTTTTTCCTTCCTAAAGTTGGCTTTATCTTTCCATTGTTCTTCGACAGCTCGTATTCCTGTAGTGATGCCGGATTTTTCTTTCCACCAGTTCTACCTCTTAGGGAAAGAAAACGTTTTTTATTTCTGTTGTCGTCATAAGCTGTAACAGGCCACCATCAGTTCGCCTCAAAACACAGCTGGCTCAGACTCTCCAGCTAATCAGTATGTAAACGAGCATGTTCGAACTTTGCCGGATCTTCCTCTGATTAGAAATCACTGCCCCCAATCTTAGGTCACGGTCCTGCTTCTGTTTGCTGGCTTCGCCTCTAAATCCTTTAAATATTTACACTCGTTTGTCTTCTTAATTAAAAAAAAAACAAAAGAAAAAAAAAAAAGACTAGAGGAGTTACATGCAAGATTTGGCATCTTCTTAAGTCCCCACTTGTGAGTCTTGAGTTTTAGAAAAATATTTGAATTTTTTTCTTCCATTCTCTTCAGTATCTTAAAGCGTCTGATTGTAACGGATAGAGGTGAGAGGACGACAGCTGTGAGCGCCAGTGTGTGATGTTAGTAAAGTGTCTGATCATCGTTTTCTTTTTCACTGTAAGTGCAAATAGCTGCGAGTTCTAATTGCTTTATTTGCTTTTCTTTGTCGGAGCTGCTGGCAGTTTTCGGGCTTCGTCGCTGCCGCTTTTATTCTTTGAAATAATCAGCAAACACTGGTCTTACTCAAGTGCAGTTCCTGTTTAGAGGTAGCTTTTGAGTGACCTTCAGAACCGAGGGAAATTCAGAGTTTAATGGGGGAGGGGGATGCGTCCATACTTCATTTAGGTGAAATCTTATAGCACTGATGAGCACAGCTGCTATGCACAGAGCCCCTCTTTATAATACTGATGTGCCCGATGAAGACGACACAGTTCATTTCCATGTATGGTTTGGGGGGTGGGGGGGTCAAAACCTTTTTTTTTTCCCAGGATGGATATCCAGAATCCTGATCTCCATCATTCGATTTGGTTCTCTCCCTTTCTCTGAAGCTCCAACAAGAAGAAAGCAGAGCGGGGCACACCAGCATGAAGATTTTTGTATGCTTTTGCTTTTGACAGAAGATGAGAAGGTGTGGCAATGTGTTTGGGGAGTTGACACTGGGGAGGGGGAGGGGGGAGGGTTGTCTTTGCATCATAGCAGAATGCAGCAGCGGCAAAACCTCTGACGGCTGCCCCCGACGGAGGGGGGTGGAGTGACAGGAGCGAAGTATGCGTGCACTTTGATGTTAGGCAGATGAGTCTGAGGGGAGGAAGAAACATAAGAAATATATTAATGCCTGAAAGAAAAAAACTACTTTGAGAATCTCGAGTCGGTAAACGTAACTCCAGTGGCAGAAAACTCCTGTTTACTGATGCAATCACGCTGTGATTGATTCTTATCCAAATCAAGCAGGCAGGCCTGACATCAAACTATGACGAGCCCAGCTCGTGTTTACCAGCAATGTGTGGGCGGTGCAGTGACTCACAAGTCAGTTTGGAAACTAAAATAAAACTCCCTGCCCTTGGATTACCAATCATGTTTAAAAGTTAGCACAGTTACTGTTGGGGAACAGCTGCAGGGTCTGCAAGTCTACTGCTCCAAATATGGAGCTTTACACTGTATGGACCTGAATCACTAGTGCACAAACAGCATGCTAGTTTGGAGCCAGTTTCAGATGCTTCATGCAGCTAACCCTAATGAATATCAAACATTAAGATATTTAGTAAACAAAAAAAAGGTTGGATGATGGATATTTCAGAAGGCAAGGCAGGGCAAATTTATTTGTATCGCACAATTCAGTACAAAGACAATGCAAAATGCTTTACATGATTAAAATACAGGAAAATAAAACAGAATCAAAGCAAGTAGGAAAAAAAAATAAATAATAAAAAAAGCAGAAACAAAAAAGAATATTAAAAACAGTTGGACTAAAGAAAATAAAAAAGTTGAACTAATGATGTTTTAGTTAGAACTGTTTCAGTAAATGTTTATGATCTCATCACAGCTACATTTCAATGCATTTTATTTGGTTCTTATTTGATAACTCATCACAAAGTAGAAAGGAATTAAAGTCAGAAGGTTTTCCAACGAAAAAAAAACAAAAGTTTAGCGTTTCAGGGTGCATATGTATCATTTTGTTCACCGTTAGAAATTTCTAGTCATAACAATTTTTATTTTTTGTCTAAACAATGAATGTGAATTAGCAATGATGAAATGTTTTTAAAAAAAGGTTGATGTGTTGATTTTTACAACTTTTCTCCTTTTTCTTTCATTTTTTCCCCATTGAGACATTAAGTAAATTCAAGGAGTATAATTATATACGTATGGTTTTCTGCATGTATGCTGTGGCATTAAGTGACAGCTGAACAGTTACCCGAGGAAAACTTCAATTTAAAAAAAATTTAATAATATCACCCAGCTCTATTTGTGTGGATCTACATTTAGTCCACTGTACAATGACACCAGGTCGCCAGTCTGTCGCAGGGCAACACAGAGACACACAACCATGCACACACACCTAAGGGCAACGTAGAGACAGGGTTCCTACAGCATAAGGCAAGTTAAATTTTAGACTTTTTAAGACTTTTTAATGCCACTTGAAATAAAAATTTAAGATCAAATTCACAAGAAACACAAGAAAAACCTGCTTGCAACAACTTAACCCAAAGGTTTATTTTAACATAAACCACTGCACTAATGTTTCAAATTTTGAAAAGCTTCCCATACAGGAAGAAAGCTAAAAACACACAAATGACAGATATATTTGAACAATTATTTAACTGAATTCACAAACTTTGTTTTAGCAGGGAACAAAACAAATCAGTTTTAAAGACACAACATAACCAGTGCTAAGTCTTTTTTTCAGCTATTTTTCTTTGTATCGTTTTCTTAGTATGTTTGATTTGGTGATAAGTGGAGGCGTTGCAGAGACAAGGGTGGAACAAAACTGAGAAATACCGGCTGTTTCTCTGTAACTAGATTTTGACGCTTTGTGTTTCGCGCTTAGCATGTGACTCCACTGCCTTAATTCCCATCGTTCTGAGCTTGATTGACTTCTTGCATAAAATACACTGCCTCATGTGGTACTGGTTTTAGCCATGGAGAAAACTCTTGGCTGGAGACAATTTTGGTTACATGTACACTTGCTCATATTTTCCAGACAAAAAGTTAATGGTGCATCTCCCAAATGTCCCGGCCGCAACAACGCTTTTATTGGTTCGGCTATGGGGATGGAACCAATAATGGCGGGCCATTTTCTTTTTCTTTTAATAAAAAAAAATGAAAAATTGTCATTTAATGTTTAAATTTATTGTCAATAAACGTTTTATTTAGATTACAAAAATAAATCATAATAAAAATAATCCTATTTATGATGTTTTAAAAATTAAGACCTACAAAAGACTGATTTAAGACATTTTAATACCAATTAAGGCCTTCGTTTTATTTTGAAGAATTCAATGCCTTTTAAGACTTTTTAAGGACCCGCGGGAACCCTGTAGACAATTAAGCTAAAAGTCTGTTTTTGGACTGTGGGAGGAAGTTGGAGGACCCAGAGAGAACCCACACATGCACAAGGAGAACATGCAAACTCCATGCAGAAAGACCGCGGGCCAGGAATCAAGCCCAGAACCTTCTTGCTGCAAGGCAGCAGCGCTACCCACCATGCAGCCCATGGTTAATTTTCTTTCCTGTTTGCCAACTATGATAGTCCACTTCCCTACAATTAAACAACTTACTTTTTATATAAGATAAACTGTTTAGGTATTTTGTTTAAATATAAAGTTATTTGTTATTTAGTGTTTTATTGTTGTATATAAAATTATTTATCACCTAAGTCATTTGGTGTGCTTTTGTTTCAAGTGTTTAAAAAATAAACCGCTCAATGCTCATTATTTGTTTTGTTGTTTTTGTTTTTTTTACCCTCGTTTTTAAAAATAAAAAAAGCATCAATAAAATACAGATCAAGAGCAGTGTTAAGGTTAAATCCGTAACAATAGCCATCCCTACTTACCCGTAGTCTTTTGATGCCAGCACGGGTTATCTGTTGGCAGTCATAAAGCTCAATGCGATCCAGACTGTGGCAGCTTTTCAGGTGCTCCAGCGAGGCGTCTGTGATGAGGGGGCAGTTGTCCAGCTCGATCACCTCCAGGCGGTCGTGAGCGCAGGGGCCGCTGCCCAGGTGTCTGATGCCATCGTCTGTGATCAGCTCACAATGAGACAGACTCTGAGGGAAAACAGTGGTTCCACCATGAGAACCAGGTTACTCAAAAAAGAGCAAAGAAATATAACAGGAGCAACAATAAGATACGGTGGAGAGCACATGGACTCACCAGGACTTGCAGGCGAGGGCAGTGAATGGACAGCTGGATTAAAGTTCCATCTGTGATCTGGTACAAAACGGAGGAAAAGAAAATCCTTTCATTTAATGTACATCCTCCTACTTGAGGAATCCATTCTTTAAATGTCTGTATTCACCTGTACACACTCTTCTAAATCCATCTTCTCAAGTTCATGGCAATTCTACAAAAAAAAGACAAAACATGAAAATGAATCTTCCACACCACTAGGTCCTCTTTAACAAAAAAACAAAAACCATTAAAACACCCTTACCCTTGCTAATGTAGTAAAGCCCACGTCTGTAAGCTGAGAGCAGCGAGCCACTTCTAATATTCTGGAAGAAAAACAAAAAGATGCAATAGTTGGACAGAGTAAACATGAGCTTTTGCAAGGTGTTAAAAGTAGTAAATTCCCAGTTAATGTGGATCTGCAGACGAACCTGAGACGCGGGCAGTTTTGTCCGAGTGCGTGTAAGATGGCGTCTGTAATGTTGGCACAACCCGACACACAGAGAGACTGCAGACGGTGACAACCTCGACAGATAGTTATGAGGCCCTCATCTGTGATCTGCTGCTCATTTTAAGGAAACAAAAAAAAAAAAAAAAGAAATGTTAGCTAAATTCTCATATCTTCTTCTATGGTATACTCACAAAAACAATGAACAGCAAAATAGGTTTATATTCAAAAACTCAAACACAATATTGGAAATGAGCAGACTTTACACACACACATCCATGCTTTAACCATTTAGTGAGGACTTTGCATGAACTTCCATTCATTTTCAGCCTTTTCCATGTCTTGTCCTGAATCAAACCACAAACTAAGGAATTTCTATAGCTCATAACGGAATTAAAGTTTTAGTATATAAAAAAACCCACAGCATCAAATCACCTGGAAGCTCTTAGGGTTTTTTTCCTCCCCCTTAAGTTAGAAACTATTTAGGAATTCACTTACGACATTCATTTGAGTTCATTTCCCTAAATCAACCAAATGTTCGCACTGATCGTGGCATAAAAAATAAATCCTTTCAGTTTGTAACTCCCTTGAACTCGAATCAACTGCAGAAAGACTTGAATTTATGGTGTCACTGTTTTCAAGGCCATTCTAAACCAGTTAATAATAAACAGGGTTTTGTTTGCAAGTTTTTGACTCATTTTAAATCAAATTTTATTTCTTATCTTTTTGTTTTGGGATTTTAAATGTGTTTTGATGTATGCAGCTTTTGTTTACAAGTTAAAAACTTAAAATTAGCTTAAAAAGATAATTATCAAATTAGTCAAATCAATGCACATTTGATGGATTAGCGAAGAATTAACTTGCAAAGAGCTTTCATTAATCGGGCACCAAATGGTATGAGTGTTAGCATCATAAGTGAAGCAGAACTGTAATCAGGCAGCTGCTGAAACATCAGACTGTCCGTTAAAACAGCGAGATGATCAACATGAACAGAGGAGGCTTTGTACGAGCTTGGCTGGCGTAGACGGAGCTCGACAGCATGTAGACATTGGAGCTTTTTATAATGAGAGCTATTCCTAACAACATGGTTTAATGCCTTCTAGTACCAATTGGTTCCAGCGTAAGGAAACAGATTTTTAAGTGTTGTGTAAAAACCAGCCATCATATGTCTTCTGTAAGTTTGTCAACCACTGATTTAATTCAAGTTATCCAAATCCAATTTTATCTAAATGATCAAACTAACCCAATAACGACACCTGTTGTCGGCCTTCAGTTTGACGGATATCAGCTACACCCAGAGCGCCACCATGAGATACACATTTGGAGGACAAATTCATAATGAAGAACAAGAACATTGTTTTGAATTATGTTTTGATTCGTACACAATTAACTGAAACTACAAGATTTAGGAGTCAAATAACGACAAAGATGGAGTAAGAATGATGTTTATTCATTTAGAATCATGCTGACTATGGGTGCCTGGCCAATGGGCAGAACATCACATTTCACCAAGGAAAACTAATATGGCAGCCATTGAACCACATTGGAGAGTAACTTGTAATATTTGTTCAATGCACATTTTTTCCTCTGCTTTAACCCTTTCAGACATATACAGTGATGAACAAGGACCTTTTCCCGCTTTTTTTGTAAGACCATATCTTTAGATCCATATTTTATACTAAGTTTTTTTTTGTATTTTATATACTCTAATAATCCCAGAGGGAAATTACTTTTCTGCATCTAACCCATCCCCTTGGGGAGCAGTGGGCTGCCATTGTGCGGCGCCAGGGGAGCACCCTTAAGTGTGGGGTTAAGGGTCTTGCTCAGGGACTCAGAGTGGCAGTCTGTGGGAGTGGGGGATCAAACTCACAATCTCAGGATTCAAAACCACTAGGCCGCCACTCCCCCAGTTTATATTAACTCCCCCAATTAATATAAATATCAGACCAAGATGAAAGAGGCAAGCAGCTTTCAAATCTTTAGGGAGAAAATAATTGAGGGACAAAGTTAATCTAAGCAGCCATGGAAATTGTTCCTGCATACTTTGTCAAATCAAGAGTTAATTGTGATATTTATTTCATTTGCTCAAAGCAGGTGCGATTCACATACATTAAAAAAAGAGAAAAAAAAACAAGAAAAACACTAAAGTAGAACCTGTCTGGCAACATGGGGCAGAGTAAAAGATCTCAGAACCTACACATCATGCCCACAATCGAATAAAATGAACGAACAGATTGAATACAATCATAACATCAGTCTGTGGAGCGTTCTAAGAGCATTTCCAGGACTTTGGGTCTCAAGCGCACCAGAGTGAGAGTAGTTATCCACAAAATGAGAAAACAAGAGAGAACACTATCCATGAGATCGAATATGAAATCAAACCAAGAACTAAACCACACCAGGCTTCAAACTACCGAGTTAAAGTCAATGTTCAGGAATCAACAAAAGGAAGCAAAAACCTGCAGTGAAAACATCTAGTGGATTCCTTTGTATTAAGGAATCAATAAGAGATTTAATATCTTCTTAAAACTATGGGATAAAAGAGAATTGGCTAAAACATAATGTCCCAGACGCCGATGTCTTTTCTCAACTGATCCAGTCCTAGAAAATAATAAATCTGATATCATACTACCATGAATGCAAAGAAGTGAAAGACCAAAATGAAAACTGAACAATCAAAGTAATCATATCTGCACAGATTTATTTAAAAGATAAAGTAGTCTGACCTTCAATGAAGCCTAATTATAAGCTAAATTAACACTAATAAGCACACAACACACTGAAGTTATTCAAAGTGTTTGCGTACAAGTGTGGTTTCAGATCTGCCTTGCTTGACCTTTATTTAGGAAAGATTCATAGCTTTACTTAAGAACTATTCAGGACTTAAGAGCTATTATTATTATAAGGAAAGAATTTTGGAGGAAACGGAAGGAATGTGCCAGCTGGATTCACCTGAATGAAGATTTACAACTTAAAGGAATAGTACACCCAAAACATGATTAGCCTTCATTTTCTACTCACCCCCATGCTGAACAACACTCTGGAGTACTTTTTTGATATC